AAGCACCTGCTTGTTAAGCTGGTGCCTGGAGCCGGCCCTGCTCAGGACCTATTAGGAGGTTCTCAGCACCTCAGCAGGATTGGACTCTTCAGACTGAATCTCAGATTTTGCACTGACCTCCACATATACATTGTAGATTTTAATATGTTTCAATCTTTTTTTTAAATTTTCTTATTTACAAGAAGAACATCCAAGTATAAAGATTAACCAATTTTTGACATTTTGTGGGTTTAAGTGACTTGTGTCTTATTGGAGAGACTATGTATCCGGCAAGTATACCCCATTAGCGACTACACTTTCTGAAAGCTGGACCTTGCAATTTTGGAAATTCCGAAATTAACCAGCTTCTTGGAGAGATGTTGGTTTAAAATATTTTTTAAAAACTAAGCATCTCCCCTTCAGAGCTCATCTTAAGTCTGATTTATTTAATGAAGTGCTCTAGGAGGAATAAAAACCCTCATGCCTCAAGACACAAGCCAGCCTCAGACTAATGGGGGTCAGGAAGGAACCTTACAAAGGAGCAGATTATCCCTTAATTGACTAATGCAGGGTTTCTTGTACCTTCCTCTGAAATGGCTGGTACTCATCAGTGTTGGAGATGGGATACTGGACTGGATGGGTCACTGGACTGATCCAGTCTGGAAATTTCAATGTTCCTAATTATTACCCAGTTTGTCCATGAAGTCCAGAGTGTCATCCCATTCCTCATAAAACCCCTAGCTTTCTGCTGAGAGGTTGTTTTCCATATCGTCCGTCCCCCACCCCAAAAGCAGAACGTAGTTCTCCATCCTGGGTAAGGCAAAAAGTTTAGCTCTGTGAGGAAGTACATCAGGGCTGAGGGATGGAATCTTCAACCCAACTGATTGGTCTGACCCCAAGTAGAGCCATGAGCGCTAATCCAGGCCATGGATAAGAGTATCAGATATCGTCTGATCCTTCTCCTCCCCATCCTCTGCAGGATTTTAGCCCAGTGGACCTGTGTAATGCACATTGTCACAGGCCATATCCCTTGCTCACCCCAAAACCTCCTTTCCAAGGGGGGAGGTGAGGAGTCTTGCTGGGGTGATTTTCCCACGTGTGGGCTCTGCTACTGCTGCTGCCCTTTGCTTATTGGACCAGATGTTTTTGGACACACCCTGGGACTTGTCCCTTCATCTTTAACACAATGACAATAATGGGAGTTTTATTCTGATCAGCCTTTAAGGTTGTAAATATATTAAGCAAGTGTCTAAATAAACAAATCCCATTAAAACAAGCTTAAAACCCAATCTGAGCCTGCCAGAGGGAATCCACGGAGTGTGATCACAATTTGCCTAACCTAGGGAGCAGGTCTTCCTTGCAGCTTGAAAACTCTCTCTGCACATCACAAACTCATTAGTCACACTGGTTAGCTCATGGTACCTTTTTTGTTTATACACAGTATGGAACATAAAAGTATCCAGCACAAGTGAGTGAAGTGCATAGGGTATGTTTAACTTTGATACTGAATAGTCTGCTGCTGACTAAGGCAGGAAGAGAAGAGTGTATATTTTTCCTTAGCAAACAGCCCAGTTCTGAAAATCTATTGCTCCGGTAAAATCATCTTTGCAGGCATTAAATTATGACTGTGCCACTGGTTGAAAATCTGCTAGAAGTATTTGCAATGTGTGTCTCATAGGGATAGTGTCCGAGGTCCAGAAAGTTGAAATACACTTTCTAGGGGCGGCAGAGTGATCTAGTGGACAGCACACGGTACTAGAAGCCAGGAGATCGAGGTTCTAGTTTCTGCTCTTCTGCTGCCCTACTGTGTGACCTTGGGCAAGTCACTTTCTCTCTCTCTGCTTCTGTTTCCCTTCTGAGTCTTGCCTGCCTCATCTATTTAGACTGTAAGCTCTTCAGGACAGTGTTGTTGATTGTTAAAAGCTGAGCAGTTTTACTGTTCAATTTTCCTAAGTAATCCTTTGTCTCAGTTAATATTGGTTCTGTCTTTCCAGTGTCTAAAAGCTGAAGATATGGCCAATGCTGTCATATATGTACTAAGTGCTCCACCTCATGTACAGGTAAGTTGCAGCTCATGTGAAATAACATCTCTGTTGTAACAACAACGAGGAGCCCTTGTGGCCCCTTAGAAACTAACAAATTTATTTGGGCATAAGCTTTTGTGGGCTACAGCCCACTTCATCAGATGCATGAAGTGAAAAATACAGGAGCGGGTATCAATACATGAAAGGATGGGGGTTTCTTTACCAAGTGTTAGGTCAGTCTAATGAGAGAAATCAATTAACAGCAGGATACCAAGGGAGGAAAAATAACTTTTGAAGTGGTAAGAGAGAGGCCCATTACAGACAGTTGACAAGAAGGTGTGAGTAACAGTAGGGAGAAATTAGTATTGGGGAAATTAAGTTTAGGTTTTGTAATGACCCAACCACTCCCAGTCTTTATTCAGGCCTAATCTGATGGTATCTAGTTTGCAAATTAATTCCAGTTCTGCAGCTTCACGTTGGAGTCTGTTTTTGAAGTTTTTTTTGTTGAAGAATTGCCACTTTTAGATCTGTTATTGAGTGACCAGAGAGATTGAAGTGTTCTCCTACTGGTTTTTGAATGTTATGATTCCTGATGTCAGATTTGTGTCCATTTATTCTTTTGCATAGAGACTGTCCGGTTTGGCCAATGTACATGGCAGAGGGGCATTGCTGGCACATGATGGCATATATCACATTGGTAGATGTGCAGGTGAACGAGCCCCAGATGGTGTGGCTGACGTGGTTAGGTCCTATGATGGTGTCCCTTGAATAGATACGTGGACAGAGTTCGCACTGGGGTTTGTAGCAGGGTTTGGTTCCTGGGTTGGTGTTTTTGTTGTGTGGTGTGTAGGTGCTGGTGAGTATTTGTTTCAGGTTCGCGGGCTGTCTGCAGGTGAGGACTGGCCTGTCTCCCAAGGTCTTTGAGAGTGAGGGATTGTCCTTCAGGATAGGTTGTAGATCCTTGATGATGCACTGGAGAGGTTTTAGTTGGGGGCTGTAGGTGACGGCTAGTGGCGTTCTGTTACTGTCTTTGTTGGGCCTGTCTTGTAGTAGGTGACTTCTCAGTATCCTTCTGGCTCTGTCAATCTGTTTCTTCACTTCACGTGCGTATTGGAGTTTTAAGAATGCTTGATAGAGATTCTGTAGGTGTTTGTCTCTTGTCTGAGGGATCGGAGCAAATGCGGTTGTATCTTAGAGCTTGGCTGTATCTTAGAGCTTGGATTGTGTGATGTGGTCTGGATGAAAGCTGGAGGCATGTAGGTAAGTATAGCGGTCAGTAGGTGTCCGGTATAGGGTGGTGTTTGTGACCATCGCTTATTAGCACTGTAGTGTCTAGGAAGTGGACCTCTTATGTGAACTGGTCAAGGCTGAGGTTGATGGTAGGGTGGAAATCCTCAAGGGCCTCCTTCCCATGGGTCCAGATGATGAAGATGTCATCAATGTAGTGCAAGTAGAGTAGGGGCGTAAGGGAACGAGAGCTGAGGAAGCGTTGTTCTAAGTCAGCCATAAAAATGTTGGCATACTGAGGGGCCATGCAGGTACCCATAGCATTCCTGCTGACTTGGAGGTATAAATTGTCCCCAAATCTGAAATAGTTGTGGGTGAGGACAAAGTCGCAAAGTTCAGCCACCAGGTTTGCCGTGATGGTATGTTGTGTGTAACTGAAAGAGTAAAGGGGAATTTTGCAGACCTGACATCTGTTCATCAGCATTGCAGTCTCCATATCAGCTGTGTGCTCAGGAGCGTATGGCCTAGAGATTAATATTGATCATTTTAGTTACATGTACCTTATGGCAATGTTGAAACTGCAAGGATCCAACAGCTAAAGCCTGCACGTCTACAAGATAACTTTTCTCTGGGGGTAGGAACTTTTTATCAGGGACTCCTTCTAGAACCTAGATTAAAATGGAAGGAACATGGACCTCTCTTGCCCCTTCTGAACTGAGTCTTCGGCTGTCCTGCTGACATTCTTGGGGCTAGATCAGATTCTACCAGTCACTAATTTAGGGCCCAATCTTGCTAAGTGCCCAGAGTCACACAGGATGCGTGTGGCGGAGTAGGAATTGAATGCAGGTTTCCTACAGGGCTAGCACTCTACCCACTTGAACCATCCTTCCTCTCCCTCCGCTCTTTCCAAGGGGTACTGAGTACCTCCCACAATGACGCCATATGGGCTGTTAACAGGTCTGATACATATGCTAAGTGCACCCGCTCCCCTCCAGTGGCTGGTCCACACAAAAGATAAGAGGCTACTACTGCTGCTCCTTTAGTCCTAGAAGCCTGTGCTTTTAGTGCTAAAGAGCACAGGTTCTATTACCAGTGAGGACACCTGCAAGCTGCCAAATTCAGAGTGAAGTTTCAAATTTCCAATACCTCAGCACAACTAAATCCAATAGTTCCTAGACACTTAAGAACTGATCCTCCGCTCCTTGCTGTCTTGCTTTAATGCCTCTATTAAATTTGCATTTGAGGTAGTTTTTACTTGGTAAATTCCCTTGGGTACTTTCAGTTGCTTTTAAAATCACAATGAATTTGTGGCTCAGACATGAAATAACTTTAGTGTCTCCCTCTGTGTTATGCACAAACTCCACTCATTCCTCAGCTATATGGCCAGATTTTGGGTGCTGAGCCCCTTAGGAAATCTGCCTGATATCTATTTTGCACTCGCAAAGGGATTAACATTGATCATTTCAGTTACACGTACTTTATGGCAACATTGCACTTGTTCCTCTTGATCGAGGGTCCCAAAGGGGTTTTCAAATCTTTTGTGCTTTCAGACTTAGTTTTCACCCACTACATAATAAATAAACAAACAGTTTGCTTCTCTGCTGCATTTCAGCTCTATGCTGGTGTGAAGTGACAAACCCCTGGCAATCCAGGTTTGTAGAGACTCTGAAAAAAATATTTGTGAGAAGGCTGAGTGGAGACCCATGTAAATATCAGGTCCATATCATGAAAGCAAGAAAACGTGTCAGATGACTTTGGACATGAAAAAATGACTAGCACGATCTTTACATGGGCTCCTGCAAAGGCAGGGCATGAGACACTTGGATATAAGAGCTGTCTTCCTGAATCATTACATTGGCCCATTTAGTCCAGTGTCCTGTCTCTGACACTGGTCACTACTTGCTTCAGAGAAAGTTTGCAAGAATCTGTGCAATAAGCAGTTATAACCTGGCCATGAGCAATGTTCCTTCGTGACTCTCATTAGGTAGAAGTTGGTTTATGCCCTGAAGCATGAGGATTTATAACCAATATCAGCTTACACTGTCTTCCTTCGCTTCTGTGTACTAAGATTAAAATCATTGTAATTCTGTTAGAAAAAAAAAATCATTGTTAAAAAAAAAACTGTTATTAAAAACAAACCAACAAAATCTAATGACTGGTGGTTGAATAACTGAAGGGATCTATATCTTGTCATATGCATTGTGTTCATTTGCAGTTTGTCATTATTATGTTTCACACATGTTTAGCGTGTTTATGTTTAGCACACTGTGAACCTCTTAAAATGGGCTTCAGTGCTACTGTAAAATCATGTATTGGTCTTTTCCAGATTGGAGATATTCAGATGAGGCCTACAGAGCAGATTTCATAGCAAATGAAGAGGAATGCAAGCAGCACCATGCATCAATCCCCTCTTCACACCCTCCAGCAGTTTAGGGTTTCATCTGCTGGTTGACGAAATTTTAATTGGATTCCAAGGATCACATTTGAAGAATTAATTTTCTCTCTCTCTCTCTCTCTCTCTCTCAGCTGGTGCTGAGCCAGTAAAAAAAAAATTCCTATTGGTCTTGGGTTTCTCTCCCCCTCACTATTACCGTAAATGTAATTTGAAAACACTGCAGGGAAGCAAATCAGTGGAATACTGTATATTATTGGTTTGGGTTTTTAGTTTTGTTTGGATCTCGTTTGCTGATGCTCCAGACAGACACAGGTGAAGCGTCATGAGATATTTGCCAACTTCAAAGCATCACTTGGTTGCTGATTCCTTTCTGCTGATGCACATTCTTTGAATTGTTGCAATTAATTAAATGGCACATGACCTGTCACTTTCTTCTCTGTTTTTTAAGTATTATTGTCAGAGGTGTCCCAACGACTTCATTTGGCAGATGTGATTTCCACCTCCTCCCTGTTCAGCTGTGACATACTAATGCATTGGAAGGAGATTTCCTTTGTACTTAGAACAAAGGATTTGTCTTAATCCTAGTCCTCTCTTCTAAAGTCAAAACAAGAGACAAGACATCCACTGTCCACCTTTTTCAACATACTTAATGCTTCAGATTTTTGGTGTATATCGTGTATCAGTCAGATCTAATTTCTGTTTCTCTTGCATCTATTCAAAGCTAATTTTGCTTGTCAATAATGGTGCATGTGACTCCCCCTTTCCCATTGTATCCCACGGTGCCAGAAGAAGTGTAAAGAATACTCCTTTCCTGTTTACATGAATTGTGCCTGACAGATCTGAAGAAGTATCTCTTGTGATTGCCATTACTCTCTCTTTCTAGGTAGGTAGATAGATGGAGGGATACGCACCTGAATTTCCACAGGTTAGGGAATGACTATCTAACATATAAGTGGCATAGTTAAAGTATGAGTGAGTTGTTTGGTCTTTTTAATAAAAGTAAAATAAAATTGTGTACGGTCTTCTTGTGATCATATATATCCTTTGTACCATCTCATAGCATTCTTGATGTTTTTGTATGTTTGATATTTGCATGTATTGACACTTTTTGGAAATATTGACAGTCTTAGAAATGCTGTATGGTGCTGTTTAAATGCTGATGCTGAAAGCTAGTGAGTTGGAAATGTTGAAACTGTGAAATGGTATATGATCAAATTCTTGGGGTGGGGGGGGGAGAGAGAGAGAGAGAGGGGTGAACCATACTGAAGCTGTCCAGAATACATGACTTCTAAACTGCAGGTATAAAGCCTCATTCTGCTCTCATAAACAGTTTTATGCTGGTGTAATTCCTCTGAGTTACACCTGATTTACACTGGTTTAGAACTGAGGAGAGTCAGGCCCATAGCTGATTACACTTACAGTTGCAAAACTACTTTAGCGACCATGTTTAGACTCCGTTAGAATGGTATAAAAGAGACATAGGTGTGCACTCCAACCTGATATGCAATTGTGGAGCTGTTAATATGTGTTGCCTTAAGATTCTGATTTCACTTCTGCTGTGCTCCGAATTTCCTGTAGCATTTCCGGTGGTGAACCTGTTGTATTAGGTGGAGCAGGTGTGGTCAAGTGACCTGAGCACAGGACTGGGAGCCAGGGAACTTGATTCTGATCTCTTCACGTACATCAGTTTTACACCATCTATGGGTGTTACTCCTTGTTTATATTAGTGTAAGAGAGACCAGGATCAGGCCAAATACCTTCTGTATTCCAACTCCCTCATTAACCATGGGCAAGTCACTTAACCTCTCTGCCTCAGTTTCCCCATCTGTAAAATGGGGATAATAATACTTACCTACCTCACAGGGGTGTTGTGAGGACTCATTATCTGTTTTGTAAAGCACTTTGAATATGAAAAGCGCTATGTAAGTGCTAAGTATTGTTATTAAGTATTATTAATTACATCTTGCGATACACAGAATTACTTGTGCCAAAGGTTGGCAACAGTAGACCGATATGGCCAGAATAGCTGGTAACGCATACGTTAGTAATGCTGGCATAAATGAAAAAAAATATAACTTTTTTTTCCTCTTTAAAAGTGTGTTCATTATTATTTTTTTTTCTTTCCATTCCTGGTTTCTCATCCCCTCCCTGCTGGGTAAGGCAAGTGCTGACTCAGCTGTTTCTGGATTTGGCTTTTTAATTCATTGTAGGTTATATTCATCACTGTGCAGAGAACTCGAACCAAGCAAATGCACCACTTAAGTCCCACTTAACTGATGTATTGGTCTTTGTGTAGGCCCTCTGCACAGATGTGAATTTTACCCTGGGTGCTGAATGTTTAGAAATTGGAAACCTGCTGGTGGGGGAAATCCTTAAGCCCCTGTCCAGCAAAGCACTTAACCACATGCTTAACATTGAAGTCAATGGGAATACTCACATGCTTAAGTGCTTTGCTGAATCAGGGCCTAAATTGATAATTCTGCTTTGACTTCAGAGAACATTACCTAAGGTATCTTCCTATGATTTAGTTGGTGTTGGTCCTGCTTTGAGCAGGGGGTTGGACTAGATGACTTCCTGAGGTCTCTTCCAACCCTAATCTTCTATGATTCTATGAAAAGGGCCATTCCAGTTTGCTAGTGTTCCTTAAAATATGAACTGGCGGCCTCATGGTTTTAAAAGTCCCATTCAAATGTTTTTCTACATTTGTAACCTTCTCAGACTGATAAAATAATGTGTTGTCTTTCAAATTATTTTGCTCCCAACTGTCCAGTATATTTTCCGTTCCAAATTTTTTAGGGAATTTTTTCCTGCTGCCAGTTAACTTTCTACCTTTGGCTGATTTCCTAAAACACGTGCAAATCTTAAAGGGGCTTGAAAACAGATGGCTACTTCTGCCACTCTGCCTCTCATTTATACTTACCTAGATGGATTGCACTTTGAACCATCTTTCCGGAATGATGTGGCATTGGCAACACTACTATGAAGAGGAAGAGTTGTTTTGAAACCCCCAAAGAGGAGGGTGAACTGTTTAATTTATCGATAGGTTTCTAATTGTGAACTGTAAAATAAAAAAAGAGAAAAATACTATGGCTTTGTCCTACTTTTTAAATATCTTAATATACAGTTAAATCCTTGTGTAAAAAACCATTTGTCTTATGAAAGCAGAGTGATTTCAGGGTGGGGAACATAGCTTCCTTTGTTTTTGTACAGGGCCTAGCACATTGTTGGCACTCTTGAAACCAATAATAATTCTTGATGTTAAACTGTAGCAGTGATGTGTTTTTATTAAAGATACAGATGTTCTTTCTGACAGTATCTGCCAATGCCTGTGTCCGAATATGGTGGAGGGAATATTCTCGGGTTACATGCCTAAGAATGGGTGACTCAGAAACTGGTATAAGAGTTGGTGGTGGTTTTGCGAGCCGTTAAGTGATGCAGCAGGCAGGCGGAGTTGCAGGAGAAAGACTTTTATTGAACATGCATAGAGACCAGTGTTTACACGCTGAGAGGCCACTGTTTGTCAGGTAGCACTGGGCCACCAACATACAATCCAGAGCCCCTGGTGTCACACCTAACTAGGTCCCTCCTGAAAGCTGTCCCTCTTCCTTCAGTCCCACTCTTCATTGTACAGGGGCAAAACGAACTATTTGTCTCAGTATTTTAAGTAAACATTTTCCAGCAGAATGGTTTTAAAACGATTGGGCCTGGGTCTGATCCCTTCCTTGGGTGAGTAATCCTTAATCAGGTGGGCCCCACGCCTGCAGTCAGGCCCCAGGGGTTGGCCTTGCACTTGTAGAGAGCCTTATTGCATTCAACAGGGGTCCACCAGAGCACAAGTTGCTACCCAAATGAATCCCACTGCAGGGTCTGTCGTCTGTGCTGTGGGTACTCTCACTAAAGCCAAGGTCTCAGATGAGTAAAGGCTGAAGGTTGGGCCCTTACTTTCATGGCAACCATTTGTGTAATTGCTTTAAAACATACAGGGGATGATCCAAAACCCACTGAAATCAATGTAAGGAGTCCCAATGACTCCAATGGTCTCTCGATTAGCCTCATGGATGTTCATCTGTCAGAGGGAGATGTTTGCAAAAAGAGCATTCTGTTATCTCGTGAATAACCAGTTTAGGTTGGATTCTGCTACTCGTCCTCACATTGAGTAGTACCTTAATCTGCAAGTACTTGCACTGATTTCAGTGGGACTGTCTATGAGGTAAAGTACTAAACATCGGGATGGCAGAATCTGACTCTGAATTGCATTTTTGAACTACTCAAGGAATGAGGTACCACCACCCTGGAAAACATAGATTTGCATCTGAAACTAGCACTGTATCCTTGTAGGGAGTCTTTCGTTCGTTACTGGGGGGGCAAACAATACAGAAGACTCTTTTTTTCCATCACGGCTATTTATTTATGAATCACCTTCCAATTTACCCAAGTGCAAAGGCACATTTAACAGCCAGTGTTTGCTGCCATCACAATAGAATTGTTTGCAACGACAAACAGGTGGCTGGAAAAAAATTGTTAACTGAGTATTAACAAATGGTTGGGTGTCTTGTGAGCAGCCAGAAAGACCTTGTGAAATAGAAGGGCAGTGTTGCCAACTCTTGTGATTTTTATCACACGTCTCCCATTATTTGCTATTTATCATGAAGCCCTAGCTCCAGGAGTCATGTGATTATGTGGGAATCTCAGCATTTATTTAAAAATAGTAAGTTGCTAGCCATCTGCAGAGAAAACCTTGGAAAGGTAATGTAAGTGCATCCTAAAGGTTCAAAAACCAGAAGGCAAATAAACAGAGTCCAGTGTTCCTTGACATTTTATGATTTTAAAGCCAATCTCATGATTTTGGGGGCCTGAATCATGTTTTTTGAAAGTTTCAGGTTGACAATACTAGAAAGGACTAAAAGAAACTTGACTGGTTCTATTAAATCCTTTGTTATTTAAAAGATTGTCCCAACGTTGGAATACACGCTCGAAGGCCTTGAACCTCCAGGTTTGCAGGAAGGGCTCAGCACTTTGCAGGAGAGGGGCCTAAGAGGATTACTTGTGTGAGCAAGTTGGACAGGAAAAAACCCTAAAGGTCCAAAAGCTCGAACTAACATTTATTATGGACATGATCCTGCACCCACTGAAGTCAATGGGCCCAGTTCACCTTTGCCCCGCACCCAGTTTAGTCATTTACACAAGTGTAAAGTGGACCTAAAAATACTTCCAAATAAGAATGGTAGCATTTTGCACTGGTGTAAAAGTGCAGGGTAATAGTGAATTGGAGCCAATGGGAGCAGATTTGGCTGATTCAATGCATCGTTTATGAGCCATTCCTATTTGTAATCCTAAGATTGCAAATATGATACAGCTCAGTTGTAAACACTTAGGGTAATATCCCAGCCTCAGTAAAGTCAATTGTAGTTTTGCTGTTGATTTCAGTGGGTCAGGATTTCACCTTTACAATTTATATTTCCAGCTGGTTAGACATTGTTTGGACAGACGCCACTGTCCACTGCATTTTACAGCCTGCCTGACTGCACAATGCCTAGCAGAAGGGAGTCACCGATCGTTCTGGAGTAACTGAAGTTCTAACACTTGCTTTTTAATATTTAAGGCGCTGCTTGGGCCTCAGAATGTACGTGTGCTTCGTGCCAGGCTGAGAGGCTCCTGAGTTCTCAGCATTCGTTTTTTTGCTGTTGGGTTTCTTGGGGTGGTGTTGCTGGAAGTGAGGAGTTCAAGAACAGCACTGGAAACCAGCAACACATCAGAGGAGCCTTCTAAGGCCCCGGTCCCACAGAGGGACCCTTCTGCCCACGGAGAGTCCCACTAACTTCACTGGGGTTCGGGGTGGACAGAAGAGACTGCCCGTGTGGGTCCCACAGTGGATCAGACCCCAGAGAGATGGTGTGGGTCCAGGTGTGTGCGCGCAGACCGATATCTAAGGCCAAATTCTGCCAGCCTTAAATCAATCTGTGGGCCAGGCAGTGGCGTGCCTCTGTGCAGCCATGAACAAGGCCTCCATCTCAAGCCCTCTCTACAGGGCCCAGCCACAACCACAGCCCTTATGCTCTCACAATCAGGAGCTGCTCAGAGCCGGCACCCACATGGGCTCAACAATAGGCAATGGAGTTACTCCAGATTTATACCAGCATACAAAAGAGGAGAATCCAGCCTAGTTTGCCTGCATGCAGTGCAATGCGTCCTCTGCCCGGAGCTCCCCTGGGGGCTGATATGGCTCCACAGAGCCCCCTGGTTGTGTCTGTGGCTTAGTGGCACAATCTGACCTCAAAACCGGAATAAATCCGTTAGTTTAAAGGGATACAACTGAGAGCTAAATTTAGCCATCAGTCCCCTCCTTAGTGCGCCTGTTTTCCTGGCTGTGCTGCCTCAGGCTGCTAGGTACACCTGACCCCTGCCTGTAAAGTTGTGGAGGGAGGAAACACTGCTGGATAAGGCAGCATTGTGCAGTCTCTTCCTGTTGCCTATCCCGGAGACTCATCGGTGCTTTCTGGCAAATACAGCAGCCTGCTCCCTTCTTTTATGTTGTTTGTAACCTTGCCCGTGAAATACAACATTGACCTTTACCAAGCCATATACGTTCCCCGTTGATAAAGGTCAATTGTCCAGCTAGCTTTGTTCTGCCCAGCTTCTTAAGTATTTTCCCTTTTTTTCCAGCTGTGCTGATGCTAATTTTCCTGTCCCCGTTGTCAGCCCGTCGATGACATGGCTTTCTGTTTGATTCCACTCAGCATTTGGATGCTGTTGTTGTCTACCATCCTGGGGGGATCCTCCGTGAAGCAGTGTCTGTGTGGGCTGGTTTCACCTTCTGCTGCACGTTGCCGGTGTCTACTTCACT